GGAGAATTTTTCTACAGAGCTTCGTGCTCACCCCCTATCTCTAACATTTTTCAAATTACCCGCTTGAAGAGGAGGACGTAAGGGTCGAGGAGCCCGCTACTTGGGAGACTCCACAGGACGGGAGTGTGGATCCCGAGGTGGACGCATAGAGCGATCTCATTTCCTTTTGTACTAGACTAGGATATTTTTTTGGAACATTGTGTAGTCTAGCTTCTTTGTTTATTCCGCTGCGCTTCTTTAATTAATTTTTGAGATGTAATAGTTATAATTTGGGCTTATTCTTTTGGATAATGTTGTAAATATTCGTGAATGACAAATGAAGTCTTGTTTTTTAAGGGATTATATTAGTACTCTCATGATATAAATGGTTTTAGAATGTAATGTCATCCAGGGTGTGTTTTGGCGCGTTACAGAATCTCCAACCTTACAATGAAAAATTTGTCCGGTACTCCACTGAATCGCCCCAATCGGTGGTAAACTCTTACGAGTATTGTTCTTCAACTATGGCTTGACAATAAAAAAAACAGAACAAAGAGTGTCCTATTCCTATATTTAGTGGTCAAATTGGTCACCCACTAGTCTATGTTAGGCAATAGAAGAAAGAAAAAAAATGGAACCTGGTACATAACTCAAACCATATTCCAATTTCCAATTTCCTAACCTAAATATAGGCAATAGCTCTATGTACTTTATTGCTTAATTTAGATTGATTCCTAAGTCTGTGCATGGTGCTGGTAACAGTGCAAATGACAACCACAGATTAAGGCACAAGAAAGGGCACACGCAAAAGAGAATCATATAAATAAGGAATCTTCTGGGCTTTGTGTACATTGAGGGATTGATTCTGTTTCTGTCATTGCCAAGGCCCCACCGGAGAGAAATGGCCGATCACTTTGGGGCGGCTGAAATCCCTCGTTCCGGGTCACCGGAGAAGCATGTCAGTGTAGCTGGTAAACCTTTTACTACTCCCACTCTACTTCTCTTTCTCCCCTTTTGTGTTATGTTTTTGATATAATTTTCATACGTTACGAATATACTTTTCATGTAATTCGAATTTCAATGTTACGCAATTTTTTATTATCATCAATTATGTATAAACAATGTCAAACGTTAGAGTCGCACCTAATCTATCCCTCCCGCCACTCACCTAACCGGACAATTATGACATATTATCAAATTAGCATTAAACGTGGCCTTCATGCATGGTAGAATGGAACAAATTTATGGTTGGCAATCACCTGAAGAGTTGTGATTTTTCATGCAGAAGGACAAGAAGAAGTGAATGATTGTCCAATTGAGCAAGTAAGGCTAACAGTTCCGATCACCGACGATCCATTGGTGCCGGTTCTAACGTTTCGGACATGGGTTCTTGGGATGACATCATGTGCCATTTTAGCCTTCCTGAATCAGTTTTTCGGGTATCGGCAGAATCAGCTATACATTTCATCAATATCAGCACAGATTATCACTCTTCCTTTAGGAAGGTTGATGGCAGCCACACTTCCAACTGCTCAGATTCGTGTTCCATTTACAAAGTTGTCGTTTTCGCTCAATCCTGGACCGTTCAATCTGAAAGAGCATGTCTTGATCACCATATTTGCCAATGCTGGATCAAACAGTGTTTATGCTGTGAATATTATTACCATTGTCAAGGCTTTCTATCATAGGGACCTCCATCCTTTGGCTGCTTATTTGCTCTCCCAGACTACTCAGGTATATCATATTCCACGAAGCACGGATATTTTGATAAAGTCAATGTATCCGTATCGGATACAATATTCATCGGATACTCAATCGTATATGTCGGATACACATCAAACGTATCCAATAATAAATAAAATATATGAATACTTCACGGATATTTTAGTACGTGTAATTTTTTGTTTTACTCTTTAACCTTTCCTTTTGATTTCACATACAATGCAATGCAATATATCAACAAAAATTCATATAACTTGAAAGACACATTTTTTCAAGTATTATACATTATCACATGTCCAAAGAGTTTAAATGAGTTGATTATTCTACAATTGTAGAAACAAATACTTTCTAAGAAAATAATATAGTTAAATATTAATTATTATTCGTTTAATTAATTAAGTTTACTTTGTAGATGTTCCATAGTGAGACAATAGGTAACTTTTTAAAAATAAAAAATTGTTAATGTTGTCTATTATTGTTAAATAATCACAAAAAATTATAACTATTAAATCATTACATAATAATAAAACAAATAAAATATATATTTATAAACGTATTCCAAACATACCCGTATCTTATTTTTAAAATTTTTATCGTATCGTTATAATTATATCGTACGGTAATTTTGATGGTGTCCTTGATAAATTCAGATGCTCGGGTACGGCTGGGCTGGAATGTTCAGAAAAATCCTGGTGGACTCCCCCTATATGTGGTGGCCCTCAAGCATGGTCAGCATCTCTCTGTTCAGGTCTGTCTCTCTCTCACTCTCTCACGCGGTCTCCCACACACACACACACTCATACAATAGTAACACTTGCGTTGCATTTCAGAGCACTGCATGAGAAAGAAAAGAGACCCAAGGGAGGACTAACAAGGTTACAATTCTTCTACATGGTGTTCATATCAAGCTTCGCCTATTACCTTCTCCCAGCCTATCTTTTCCCCTCCATAACCACAATTTCCTTCGTCTGTTTAATCTGGAAGAACTCCATAACTGCACAACAGCTCGGTTCAGGTCTCCATGGCCTCGGCATCGGCTCGATCGGACTCGACTGGTCCACCATTGCTGGCTTCTTAGGATCTCCTCTCACGTACCCAGTCTTCGCCATTGTCAACATTATGGCTGGCTTCTTCATCATTGTCTATATTGTAGTCCCTACTGCATATTGGCTTAATGCCTACGAGGCAAAGAAATTTCCATTCATTTCCTCTCATACTTTCGATTCAACTGGTCATCCTTATAATATTTCCAGGGTTTTGAATGAGAAAACTTTTGATCTTGATGAAGCTGGGTATAATGGTTACAGCAAACTCTACCTCAGTGTCTTTTTTGCCATGACATATGGGTTGAGTTTTGCAACTCTGACGGCTACTGTTTCACATGTTGCACTCTTCCATGGCAAGTAAGTTCATCTTTTTTTAGTGTTTTNTTGGTTTTAATAAGTGAAAATATGAAATTTTAGGTCCTAGAACTTGTATTAAATAGGTTTGGTGTAGAAATATGTGTTGGAGAGGTTTGAGATAGATTTGGTTGGCTTAGGAATGGATTGGAAATGGAAAAGGGATGAAGACTGGCTATAAACAGTGCACGTGAACAGTGCACTGTTGCAACTTCAAACTCGATTTAGACCTTCATGCAGTCAATATCTCTCAAAACTCAAAACATGAAAGTTTTTGAGTTCTTTCGTATCATTCCATAGCATCTTGAATCATTTCAATTGGAGCTTGGATGAGAGAGTTATGCTCAGATAACGAAATGATGTTGAAATAGTCCAATTAACTTCGTTTTGCATTTAATGTCTCCATTTGCATCCTAAATCAAAATATAAGAATAATGAGTACTTTTAGGCTTCAAATAAGTATAAAAGGCTTTAAGAAACACCCTTTATCACATTTTATTTGCAAACATCGCAAAACTTCATTAATAGCCGATTCAGATGGGTAAAATAGAAACTTTAGTGTTTCGGGTGTACGTTGACTTGGGTGTTGAGATAAATCATAAAAATAAATGTTTTTAGGTTAAAATAACATTAAAAATGAATCCGGAACGTTGAAAAACCTTAGGGTAGTCATATGAATCAAATTAGAGATTTTTAGTGGCAAAACCGTAAATTTGGAGAAACCCAAAACAGCCTATGAACAGAATTTTTCGGGGCTGCTATGTTTTAAACTCATTTTCATCTCATTTTCTCTCATTCCCTTCACTCCCCTCACATCCCCACACCTCTTGAAACCCTAGAGGGCATTAGAGAAGAAGAAATGAAGGGAAAAATAAGAGATTCAAGGGTGATTCAAGATCAAATATTTTTGTTCTTCACTCCAAAGCTAAGGATTCAAAGTAGGGATTTTCTCTCATTCACTTACATTGAGGCTAGGGTATTTATATATGTATGTTTTGGCTATCAATGATATATATATGTTATGGAATCATTCTCTCTTAGGCTTTTTATAAGGATTACATGTTTTGAACAAAGTAGGGTTTAATACCCATGAAATCTCCTTTCTAGTTTTAAAACCCTAATTTTTGGATAGTGATATATTTCCTTCCTAAATGCTATTTACTATGGATTTCGAAACCTTAGTACTTTGTGTTGGGTAGAAAAATGATGTTATTGTGATCTCATGTATTTTCTTAGTTAGTTGTGGAATTGTTATATGATATATTTTGAGGATTTTGGATAGATGCTTGTAAATTGAGATAAATGTTGGAATTGTATGCTTGGTTGGGTTGTTTATGATGCACATGAGTGAGAGATTCCTTGTAAGGATGCTCACTTCTTCCCAAGAGGTTCCCGGTAAGGATGCTTGAAAAATAATATAGTGATTGGTGAGAGGTTCCATGTAAGGATGCTCATCCATTTTCAAGAGGTTCCCGGTAAGGATGCTTGAGAATCAAAGGTGACCAAAAAGGGGGGGTGGAGATTACCACAAAGTATGCCATCTACCGAAAGAATTGTTGGGAATTGGTTATGGCAATTAATGGTTATTATTTGTATGTGGTGTTCATTTATTCATTTAAGTAATGTTTTTAAATAAACTTGAAATCATTTTTAAATGTCACTGCTTTATTTCAAATTATGTATCTATGTTATGTTAAAATTGAGACCGCCCGTTTTAAATGTTTTTCTAAAACTTGTATGGGTTTGGGAGAATTTTTCTACAGAGCTTCGTGCTCACCCCCTATCTCTAACATTTTTCAAATTACCCGCTTGAAGAGGAGGACGTAAGGGTCGAGGAGCCCGCTACTTGGGAGACTCCACAGGACGGGAGTGTGGATCCCGAGGTGGACGCATAGAGCGATCTCATTTCCTTTTGTACTAGACTAGGATATTTTTTTGGAACATTGTGTAGTCTAGCTTCTTTGTTTATTCCGCTGCGCTTCTTTAATTAATTTTTGAGATGTAATAGTTATAATTTGGGCTTATTCTTTTGGATAATGTTGTAAATATTCGTGAATGACAAATGAAGTCTTGTTTTTTAAGGGATTATATTAGTACTCTCATGATATAAATGGTTTTAGAATGTAATGTCATCCAGGGTGTGTTTTGGCGCGTTACAGAATCTCCAACCTTACAATGAAAAATTTGTCCGGTACTCCACTGAATCGCCCCAATCGGTGGTAAACTCTTACGAGTATTGTTCTTCAACTATGGCTTGACAATAAAAAAAACAGAACAAAGAGTGTCCTATTCCTATATTTAGTGGTCAAATTGGTCACCCACTAGTCTATGTTAGGCAATAGAAGAAAGAAAAAAAATGGAACCTGGTACATAACTCAAACCATATTCCAATTTCCAATTTCCTAACCTAAATATAGGCAATAGCTCTATGTACTTTATTGCTTAATTTAGATTGATTCCTAAGTCTGTGCATGGTGCTGGTAACAGTGCAAATGACAACCACAGATTAAGGCACAAGAAAGGGCACACGCAAAAGAGAATCATATAAATAAGGAATCTTCTGGGCTTTGTGTACATTGAGGGATTGATTCTGTTTCTGTCATTGCCAAGGCCCCACCGGAGAGAAATGGCCGATCACTTTGGGGCGGCTGAAATCCCTCGTTCCGGGTCACCGGAGAAGCATGTCAGTGTAGCTGGTAAACCTTTTACTACTCCCACTCTACTTCTCTTTCTCCCCTTTTGTGTTATGTTTTTGATATAATTTTCATACGTTACGAATATACTTTTCATGTAATTCGAATTTCAATGTTACGCAATTTTTTATTATCATCAATTATGTATAAACAATGTCAAACGTTAGAGTCGCACCTAATCTATCCCTCCCGCCACTCACCTAACCGGACAATTATGACATATTATCAAATTAGCATTAAACGTGGCCTTCATGCATGGTAGAATGGAACAAATTTATGGTTGGCAATCACCTGAAGAGTTGTGATTTTTCATGCAGAAGGACAAGAAGAAGTGAATGATTGTCCAATTGAGCAAGTAAGGCTAACAGTTCCGATCACCGACGATCCATTGGTGCCGGTTCTAACGTTTCGGACATGGGTTCTTGGGATGACATCATGTGCCATTTTAGCCTTCCTGAATCAGTTTTTCGGGTATCGGCAGAATCAGCTATACATTTCATCAATATCAGCACAGATTATCACTCTTCCTTTAGGAAGGTTGATGGCAGCCACACTTCCAACTGCTCAGATTCGTGTTCCATTTACAAAGTTGTCGTTTTCGCTCAATCCTGGACCGTTCAATCTGAAAGAGCATGTCTTGATCACCATATTTGCCAATGCTGGATCAAACAGTGTTTATGCTGTGAATATTATTACCATTGTCAAGGCTTTCTATCATAGGGACCTCCATCCTTTGGCTGCTTATTTGCTCTCCCAGACTACTCAGGTATATCATATTCCACGAAGCACGGATATTTTGATAAAGTCAATGTATCCGTATCGGATACAATATTCATCGGATACTCAATCGTATATGTCGGATACACATCAAACGTATCCAATAATAAATAAAATATATGAATACTTCACGGATATTTTAGTACGTGTAATTTTTTGTTTTACTCTTTAACCTTTCCTTTTGATTTCACATACAATGCAATGCAATATNTACTTGGGAGACTCCACAGGACGGGAGTGTGGATCCCGAGGTGGACGCATAGAGCGATCTCATTTCCTTTTGTACTAGACTAGGATATTTTTTTGGAACATTGTGTAGTCTAGCTTCTTTGTTTATTCCGCTGCGCTTCTTTAATTAATTTTTGAGATGTAATAGTTATAATTTGGGCTTATTCTTTTGGATAATGTTGTAAATATTCGTGAATGACAAATGAAGTCTTGTTTTTTAAGGGATTATATTAGTACTCTCATGATATAAATGGTTTTAGAATGTAATGTCATCCAGGGTGTGTTTTGGCGCGTTACAGAATCTCCAACCTTACAATGAAAAATTTGTCCGGTACTCCACTGAATCGCCCCAATCGGTGGTAAACTCTTACGAGTATTGTTCTTCAACTATGGCTTGACAATAAAAAAAACAGAACAAAGAGTGTCCTATTCCTATATTTAGTGGTCAAATTGGTCACCCACTAGTCTATGTTAGGCAATAGAAGAAAGAAAAAAAATGGAACCTGGTACATAACTCAAACCATATTCCAATTTCCAATTTCCTAACCTAAATATAGGCAATAGCTCTATGTACTTTATTGCTTAATTTAGATTGATTCCTAAGTCTGTGCATGGTGCTGGTAACAGTGCAAATGACAACCACAGATTAAGGCACAAGAAAGGGCACACGCAAAAGAGAATCATATAAATAAGGAATCTTCTGGGCTTTGTGTACATTGAGGGATTGATTCTGTTTCTGTCATTGCCAAGGCCCCACCGGAGAGAAATGGCCGATCACTTTGGGGCGGCTGAAATCCCTCGTTCCGGGTCACCGGAGAAGCATGTCAGTGTAGCTGGTAAACCTTTTACTACTCCCACTCTACTTCTCTTTCTCCCCTTTTGTGTTATGTTTTTGATATAATTTTCATACGTTACGAATATACTTTTCATGTAATTCGAATTTCAATGTTACGCAATTTTTTATTATCATCAATTATGTATAAACAATGTCAAACGTTAGAGTCGCACCTAATCTATCCCTCCCGCCACTCACCTAACCGGACAATTATGACATATTATCAAATTAGCATTAAACGTGGCCTTCATGCATGGTAGAATGGAACAAATTTATGGTTGGCAATCACCTGAAGAGTTGTGATTTTTCATGCAGAAGGACAAGAAGAAGTGAATGATTGTCCAATTGAGCAAGTAAGGCTAACAGTTCCGATCACCGACGATCCATTGGTGCCGGTTCTAACGTTTCGGACATGGGTTCTTGGGATGACATCATGTGCCATTTTAGCCTTCCTGAATCAGTTTTTCGGGTATCGGCAGAATCAGCTATACATTTCATCAATATCAGCACAGATTATCACTCTTCCTTTAGGAAGGTTGATGGCAGCCACACTTCCAACTGCTCAGATTCGTGTTCCATTTACAAAGTTGTCGTTTTCGCTCAATCCTGGACCGTTCAATCTGAAAGAGCATGTCTTGATCACCATATTTGCCAATGCTGGATCAAACAGTGTTTATGCTGTGAATATTATTACCATTGTCAAGGCTTTCTATCATAGGGACCTCCATCCTTTGGCTGCTTATTTGCTCTCCCAGACTACTCAGGTATATCATATTCCACGAAGCACGGATATTTTGATAAAGTCAATGTATCCGTATCGGATACAATATTCATCGGATACTCAATCGTATATGTCGGATACACATCAAACGTATCCAATAATAAATAAAATATATGAATACTTCACGGATATTTTAGTACGTGTAATTTTTTGTTTTACTCTTTAACCTTTCCTTTTGATTTCACATACAATGCAATGCAATATATCAACAAAAATTCATATAACTTGAAAGACACATTTTTTCAAGTATTATACATTATCACATGTCCAAAGAGTTTAAATGAGTTGATTATTCTACAATTGTAGAAACAAATACTTTCTAAGAAAATAATATAGTTAAATATTAATTATTATTCGTTTAATTAATTAAGTTTACTTTGTAGATGTTCCATAGTGAGACAATAGGTAACTTTTTAAAAATAAAAAATTGTTAATGTTGTCTATTATTGTTAAATAATCACAAAAAATTATAACTATTAAATCATTACATAATAATAAAACAAATAAAATATATATTTATAAACGTATTCCAAACATACCCGTATCTTATTTTTAAAATTTTTATCGTATCGTTATAATTATATCGTACGGTAATTTTGATGGTGTCCTTGATAAATTCAGATGCTCGGGTACGGCTGGGCTGGAATGNTAGGGACCTCCATCCTTTGGCTGCTTATTTGCTCTCCCAGACTACTCAGGTATATCATATTCCACGAAGCATGGATATTTTGATAAAGTCAATGTATCCGTATCGGATACAATATTCATCGCATACTCAATCGTATATGTCGGATACACATCAAACGTATCTAATAATAAATAAAATATATGAATACTTCACGGATATTCTAGTACGTGTAATTTTTTGTTTTACTCTTTAACCTTTCCTTTTGATTTCACATACAATGCAATGCAATATATCAACAAAAATTCATATAACTTGAAAGACACATTTTTTCAAGTATTATACATTATCACATGTCCAAAGAGTTTAAATGAGTTGATTATTCTACAATTGTAGAAACAAATACTTTCTAAGAAAATAATATAGTTAAATATTAATTATTATTCGTTTAATTAATTACGTTTACTTTGTAGATGTTCCATAGTGAGACAATAGGTAATTTTTTAAAAATAAAAAATTGTTAATGTCGTCTATTATTGTTAAATAATTACAAAAAATTATAACTATTAAATTATTACATAATAATAAAAAAAATAAAATATATATTTATAAACGTATTCCAAACATACCCGTATCTTATTTTTAAAATTTTTATCGTATCGTTATAACTATACCGTACGGTAATTTTGATGGTGTCCTTGATAAATTCAGATGCTCGGGTACGGCTGGGCTGGAATANCTAAGGTACCGAGTTTGGTACTATACTGAAAGTTACGACTCAATTAGAGCTAATTATAACTCGGTTGCGATAAAATTACAATTCAGTAAGGCCAAATTATAATTACAAAAGTTAGTTTATCTAAAATTATTAGAATCGGTCCTAATATTCTAAGATTGATATCAAACAGCCTCGTTTGGTCGTAACCCTGCANCAGCTCGGTTCAGGTCTCCATGGCCTCGGCATCGGCTCGATCGGACTCGACTGGTCCACCATTGCTGGCTTCTTAGGATCTCCTCTCACGTACCCAGTCTTCGCCATTGTCAACATTATGGCTGGCTTCTTCATCATTGTCTATATTGTAGTCCCTACTGCATATTGGCTTAATGCCTACGAGGCAAAGAAATTTCCATTCATTTCCTCTCATACTTTCGATTCAACTGGTCATCCTTATAATATTTCCAGGGTTTTGAATGAGAAAACTTTTGATCTTGATGAAGCTGGGTATAATGGTTACAGCAAACTCTACCTCAGTGTCTTCTTTGCCATGACATATGGGTTGAGTTTTGCAACTCTGACGGCTACTATTTCACATGTTGCACTCTTCCATGGCAAGTAAGTTCTTTTTTCTTTCTGATTAATTTGGTTTGATAGTGGTGATAATTCTGGAGCACTCAGAAATATAACACAACGGAAAATGTCTTACTAACACAATATATTGGACCTGATTGAAAGTAGTTGAAAACTGAAGCTTTTGGAGGATTCAAAGGAATAAAAAGTCTGATTTGTTTGAACCTTCCTTTATTGGGCCGCTTTTCCATCAACTTCGGGCAAAAACAAATTTTATTAGCACCAAGAAAAAACTAAAAAATGGGGTTTATCTTACGACTTTCAAGAATTCCAAACGACTCTAAGAGTTTTTTTAACTCCGATTTTTTCATTTCATTTTTCAACCCTCTATTTCGCAACCAAAAAAACCAGCTCTTAACGGGCCATTAACATGGATAACAAATGGGTTAACGGGCCATTAACATGGATAACAAATGGGTTACAGTAGTATCAAAAATTAATAATCCAATTTTGGTACGGTCAATAATATTTATAACTGATATATTGTGAAGAAAATTTCAAATATTTTTTATTTATTTTTTTTCCAAATTTTTATTTAGTATGATTGTATGTATCCTTGTAAAGTTACAGAAGTTTTACTTAATTTTCCAAGATCTGTGATGAGTGGAATTTAAGCTTACCAACACGACTAGGTCATGCAAAACACGTCTTGATTGAAACAATTTATGCAGAACAATTTGGAAAATGTGGACTCAGACACAGGATATGTTAAAAGGAATGGTTGGTGATGTGCACACAAGATTAATGAAGAAGAACTACGAAGCAGTTCCTGACTGGTGGTTCCACACTCTGTTGGTGACAATGTTCGCGCTTGCCCTCTTCACATGTGAAGGTTTTGGCAAACAACTCCAACTCCCATGGTGGGGACTTATATTGGCTTGTGCCATAGCCCTGTTCTTCACCTTACCCATCGGTATAATAACAGCTACAACCAACCAGGTACACCGTATACCAAAATCCATATTTATTAGCATGTTCCAAAGAAGGGAATGACTAAGGTACCGAGTTTGGTACTATACTGAAAGTTACGACTCAATTAGAGCTAATTATAACTCGGTTGCGATAAAATTACAATTCAGTAGGGCCAAGTTATAATTACAAAAGTTAGTTTATCTAAAAATATTAGAATCGGTCCTAATATTCTAAGATTGATATCAAACAGCCTCGTTTGGTCGTAACCCTGCTAATTGAGTCATAACTTCACCCAATTTGCTTCATTACCATAGACTTTGCCAACAAACAATATAACAGCATCACATAAGAAAGTACTTAATGGATCTCTATTATCAGTATTTATTATGTGAAATGTGAAATGTGCAGCAACCAGGGCTAAATGTGATCACAGAGTTGATCATTGGGTATCTGTACCCAGGAAAACCTCTAGCAAATGTGACTTTCAAGACCTATGGTTATATAAGCATGTCGCAAGCAATCACTTTTCTGAACGATTTCAAATTAGGTCACTACATGAAGATCCCTCCCAGAGCCATGTTTGTTGTTCAGGTACACAGTTATTATTCAATCTTGTTGAAGTATAAATAGTTAAGTCAAATTCAATGATCAATATCTCATTGATTCTAAAAACACAAGTTTACATAATCATTTTGGTGGTTCATTTATTCACAGTTGGTTGGAACAATAGTTTCTTCTTCCATCTACTTCGGCACAGCTTGGTGGCTTCTCTCAACAGTTGAGCACATCTGTGATCCGTCTCAACTACCCGATGGGAGTCCTTGGACATGCCCTGGTGACGATGTTTTCTACAATGCTTCGATCATTTGGGGAGTAGTAGGCCCAATGCGAATGTTCACAAAGTACGGGGTATACCCGGAGATGAACTGGTTTTTCCTCATTGGCTTTCTTGCACCCGTACCCGTATGGCTGCTTTCGCGGAAATTCCCTGAAAAGAAATGGATCAAGCTGATCCACATGCCTCTTATTTTGGGAAGTACAATGGGCATGCCACCAGCTAGATCTGTCAATTATTTGATGTGGGGAGTTGTGGGACTCTTCTTCAACTTGTATATTTACAAGAAATTTAAGGGATGGTGGGCAAGGCACACTTACGTTTTGTCGGCTGCATTGGATGCTGGAATTGCCTTCATGGCTGTTGTTCTTTACTTCACCCTTCAAGCAAAGGATATCGCTGGTCCGGATTGGTGGGGTTTGACTACAGAAGACCATTGTCCATTGGCTAGGTGCCCAACAGCACCAGGGATAGAAGTAAAAGGCTGTCCTGTTCTTTGATGTGCATACTTGTCACTGGATGATATAGGCTGTTCTATAAACGTATAATTGTGGAAAACTGTGAATTCTGTTGTCTGGCTTCTGGAATGATGATGCTGATCAAGATGAGAATGAGAAAATGAAGCTGTATAGTTTATTCAACACAGTTGATGAAGAAACCAGTGAAGTAGGAACCATTGAAATCTGCATTAATGCTGGAGAAAGATCGTATCAAACTTTTATTGCATGAAATCGAATGATACACGAACTGGACCAAAAAGTGGACTCTGAATTGACTGACCTTAAGGAGTCATATGAAGATGAACATGAATTCCATTATGGTATGTTAGAAGATAAGACCCACTACCAATAATCCCTGCATGAACAAGAACCATCTTTAAAGCAATGAAACTGGTTCTGATCATGGACAATTATCTGTCCATTAACAATCTCTGATATAATTTTCAAAGCAGTGTGACAGTCTTCACAAACACGAAGATTCTTCATAATCCTGATTGGTTTTCCAGTAGGTATGTTAATTAGACCAAAAACCAATGCTAATTTCTTGCGATATAGAACTTTCTTNTTATTTAGTATGATTGTATGTATCCTTGTAAAGTTACAGAAGTTTTACTTAATTTTCCAAGATCTGTGATGAGTGGAATTTAAGCTTACCAACACGACTAGGTCATGCAAAACACGTCTTGATTGAAACAATTTATGCAGAACAATTTGGAAAATGTGGACTCAGACACAGGATATGTTAAAAGGAATGGTTGGTGATGTGCACACAAGATTAATGAAGAAGAACTACGAAGCAGTTCCTGACTGGTGGTTCCACACTCTGTTGGTGACAATGTTCGCGCTTGCCCTCTTCACATGTGAAGGTTTTGGCAAACAACTCCAACTCCCATGGTGGGGACTTATATTGGCTTGTGCCATAGCCCTGTTCTTCACCTTACCCATCGGTATAATAACAGCTACAACCAACCAGGTACACCGTATACCAAAATCCATATTTATTAGCATGTTCCAAAGAAGGGAATGACTAAGGTACCGAGTTTGGTACTATACTGAAAGTTACGACTCAATTAGAGCTAATTATAACTCGGTTGCGATAAAATTACAATTCAGTAGGGCCAAGTTATAATTACAAAAGTTAGTTTATCTAAAAATATTAGAATCGGTCCTAATATTCTAAGATTGATATCAAACAGCCTCGTTTGGTCGTAACCCTGCTAATTGAGTCATAACTTCACCCAATTTGCTTCATTACCATAGACTTTGCCAACAAACAATATAACAGCATCACATAAGAAAGTACTTAATGGATCTCTATTATCAGTATTTATTATGTGAAATGTGAAATGTGCAGCAACCAGGGCTAAATGTGATCACAGAGTTGATCATTGGGTATCTGTACCCAGGAAAACCTCTAGCAAATGTGACTTTCAAGACCTATGGTTATATAAGCATGTCGCAAGCAATCACTTTTCTGAACGATTTCAAATTAGGTCACTACATGAAGATCCCTCCCAGAGCCATGTTTGTTGTTCAGGTACACAGTTATTATTCAATCTTGTTGAAGTATAAATAGTTAAGTCAAATTCAATGATCAATATCTCATTGATTCTAAAAACACAAGTTTACATAATCATTTTGGTGGTTCATTTATTCACAGTTGGTTGGAACAATAGTTTCTTCTTCCATCTACTTCGGCACAGCTTGGTGGCTTCTCTCAACAGTTGAGCACATCTGTGATCCGTCTCAACTACCCGATGGGAGTCCTTGGACATGCCCTGGTGACGATGTTTTCTACAATGCTTCGATCATTTGGGGAGTAGTAGGCCCAATGCGAATGTTCACAAAGTACGGGGTATACCCGGAGATGAACTGGTTTTTCCTCATTGGCTTTCTTGCACCCGTACCCGTATGGCTGCTTTCGCGGAAATTCCCTGAAAAGAAATGGATCAAGCTGATCCACATGCCTCTTATTTTGGGAAGTACAATGGGCATGCCACCAGCTAGATCTGTCAATTATTTGATGTGGGGAGTTGTGGGACTCTTCTTCAACTTGTATATTTACAAGAAATTTAAGGGATGGTGGGCAAGGCACACTTACGTTTTGTCGGCTGCATTGGATGCTGGAATTGCCTTCATGGCTGTTGTTCTTTACTTCACCCTTCAAGCAAAGGATATCGCTGGTCCGGATTGGTGGGGTTTGACTACAGAAGACCATTGTCCATTGGCTAGGTGCCCAACAGCACCAGGGATAGAAGTAAAAGGCTGTCCTGTTCTTTGATGTGCATACTTGTCACTGGATGATATAGGCTGTTCTATAAACGTATAATTGTGGAAAACTGTGAATTCTGTTGTCTGGCTTCTGGAATGATGATGCTGATCAAGATGAGAATGAGAAAATGAAGCTGTATAGTTTATTCAACACAGTTGATGAAGAAACCAGTGAAGTAGGAACCATTGAAATCTGCATTAATGCTGGAGAAAGATCGTATCAAACTTTTATTGCATGAAATCGAATGATACACGAACTGGACCAAAAAGTGGACTCTGAATTGACTGACCTTAAGGAGTCATATGAAGATGAACATGAATTCCATTATGGTATGTTAGAAGATAAGACCCACTACCNGAAAGATGGTGCAAAACATTTGAAAAGAACAGTGTTTCAATCGCCTACAGATCCTGGAAACTTTCACAGTTCAATAAAGAAAATATCAAGTTTCTATCTAAAGCAACTGTAATATTTAACAATAGAAAGCAACCCTTTAAATAATACATCATGTCACCCCACAAAGTACAACCCCATGCTCGCATGGATAATGTTTTATCACATGTTAGCTTCGTTTGTGGGAAGTTTGTCTTCCAAAATCTCAGCATTAGCAACTGGGAAAAGAATAAGCAGCCACCAACACCACCACCACTTGTCAACAGCATCAGAATTGCCTACAACCAGGGCGACTATTACTTGAAGAGTTCTGAGTTTAACCAGTCCCTACCAAGAGAAAAGCAAATTGCAAAATATTATCCATATTTTTTTATGACCAGCAGCATGACTACAGAAAAAAGGCACATCTCAATTATTGGANCAATAATCCCTGCATGAACAAGAACCATCTTTAAAGCAATGAAACTGGTTCTGATCACGGACAATTATCTGTCGATTAACAATCTCTGATATAATTTTCAAAGTAGTGTGACAGTCTTCACAAACACGAAGATTCTTCATAATCCTGATTGGTTTTCCAGTAGGTATGTTAATCAGACCAAAAACCAATGCTAATTTCTCGTGATATAGAACTTTTTCTTTCTCATTTTCTTCCATGTCCAGCAGAACCACCGAAGTGTTTGGTACATATCCTTTCAACCTCATTTCTTCTAATAATTTATGTCACCTCTGGAATATCTCCTCAGGGTCTCATCCCCAGCCACAAACTCATGGACCACTCCATCCACCGTAATTGAACTCCAACCTGGTGTCTTCTTCACCCCTCGATCTCTCAGCAACTTCCTCACTCTTGTCACGTCTTCCCAACGCTTTGCTTCCGCATAAATGTTTGACAAAACTGTGTAGTATCCATCATTTAGCGGGTCCAATTCAAGAAGGTGTTTGGTTACTTCTTCCGCCATTTCAATGTTCATGTGGACCTTACATCCACAAGGGAGATCTCCCCACACTACTCCATTCGGCTCAATAGGCATGTTCATAATAAGCTCATATGCCTCTTGAAGGAGGGCTGCACGGCTTAAAATATCAACCATACAACCATAATGTTCAATCTGTGGAGTTACCCGTAATCTCTATTCATACTAGCAAAAATCCTATGACCCTCATTTGTCAACCCCATATGGCTACAAGCATACAAGATAATGGTTACGACCCTCATTTGTCCAATGAAGGTGACACCATTGGGCTTGATGCCAATCTGAATCATCTTAGAGAAGAGTTACAGAGCATCGTTAGCTTGTCCATGCATTGCCAGCCCTTGAATCATGGCTGACAAGAGACAATGGTTCGGTACTCCATCTCCTCAAAAACATTATGAGCAACTTCCAAACATCCACATTTGATGTACATATCGATAAGAATATTACATATATGAATATTTCTACTATACCCACTTCGCTCAGAGTACTCATGAATCTTCCTGCCAAGATCAATTGCACGCAAATCAGCACATGCTGTGAGAACAGCCACAACCGTTACCACATTAGGTCTTAACCCTGCCTCTTCCATCTGCGTAAAAAGACTAATAGCCTCCTTTGGCTTCCCACACTGAACGAATCCGGCAATCATAGTCGTCCATGACCTCACTGGCATTTGTGAAAATAAAGCATATGCCCCGTCAACATCTTCCCTCTAGACCGATTGGGTCATCATTATATTCCAAGTCACAACATCGCGTTGTGACATTTTCTCAAACAACTACCGCGCATCATTAATAGCTCCACAAGATGCATATAATTGAACAATAGTGTTTTGCAAAAACAAATTTGATTGAAACCCAAGTTTTTCAATGAACCCGTGAACAATTTTACCATGTAAAAGTTCCAACAACTTGTGTGCAAGCTTTAATAATAAAAGAATGAGAAAAAATATCGAGACAAACATTATGGTTACGCAGCTGATAAAACAGCACAATTGCATCATTTAGAGAATCACTTTCGGCAAAAGCTCTCAAACAGGAGTTCCACACTACAATCTCGGGCGTATCAGCACATTCGTAGATTTGTTGAGCGTAGGGAAAACAATGCGTGAAGGCACAAACGGAGCCAACTCGGGGAAGTGGGAGGATTGAATGAGGAGTGTTAGTTTGATGATGTGGGCATGCACTTGTTTGCGTTCCAATAGAGAGTGGAAGTTGTAGAACAGATCGGCTGTGAGGGTTTCTGAAATGGGATTATGAGAATTTCCAGATCGATTGGTTCGGTTGGGTTTAGAAGAGGTAACTGTGTAGAGGGAAGAAACGAAAGGCGTAGACTGAACCATTTCGGTTAGTGAATAACTGTTTATGTTTACCTGCCAGAGCTTAATTTCTTATTTTAGGAACAAATATATTTGTCCTAAAAATATGTACTAAATTATCTCCAAACTTTGATCGTTGGGCATAAAAACTGAAAAAAAAAATAATTTTAAAAAGATCATATCTTACAAATAAACCAAGTTATTGATGATTAAATCGAGTCAATTTTAAAGTCTATTTAATAGACGAGCCAAGTCCAAACAACAGTTTACTCAGCTCACAAGTCAGTATTTACATCCCTGGTGCAGATTTCTAAAATTTGTGACTCATAACCAGGCTTGATGAGTCTGAAGACTCTGAACTACACTTTGTTTCATGAGTCACAAGAAAAGGCCACTGTTCACCCACAGGATAGGCCAATTCTTGGTTTTTTTTTTTGAGAATCAGTATAGGCCAATTCATCATCACAAAGATTGCATAGAATTGGTCATCGTCATTTAATTGGCAACCTATGACAGAAAAATAGTTTCCATGAATCGATTTTTCTTCCCCACTTCAACAGAAAGATGGTGCAAAACATTTGAAAAGAACAGTGTTTCAATCGCCTACAGATCCTGGAAACTTTCACAGTTCAATAAAGAAAATATCAAGTTTCTATCTAAAGCAACTGTAATATTTAACAATAGAAAGCAACCCTTTAAATAATACATCATGTCACCCCACAAAGTACAACCCCATGCTCGCATGGATAATGTTTTATCACATGTTAGCTTCGTTTGTGGGAAGTTTGTCTTCCAAAATCTCAGCATTAGCAACTGGGAAAAGAATAAGCAGCCACCAACACCACCACCACTTGTTAACAGCATCAGAATTGCCTACAACCAGGGCGACTATTACTTGAAGAGTTCTGAGTTTAACCAGTCCCTACCAAGAGAAAAGCAAATTGCAAAATATTATCCATATTTTTTTATGACCAGCAGCATGACTACAGAAAAAAGGCACATCTCAATTATTGGGCGGCGATAAAAGAATGATGTATGACTCTCACTTGCTAATGTCATCAAGGTGGTCATCAAAATCTATGATGTCCTTCCACTTCTCAGAAGAAACATAATCCAACAGGAGAATATTTGCAGATGGCTCCTTGATGCTCAGCCGGTTGCTCCCCTCTGATCCAACTAGCTTCCAACTCCTAGTTGCATCCTTCGTGTAAAGCTGCGCGACAAATAGACAAATAAATAAACAAACTTTAGTTGAACTTCACAGTGGTTTATAACATAGACAAGACAGAGTAACGTAGAAAAATGTAGCCCGCAGCAGTCAAGGGGTTGTAGGGGCAACTTCCAGAGAGAATTATGGCGAGAAGAGGCTTATGGACAAAAAATGAGCATTCTGAAATCTAATGCAAGGGTTTCCTACATGGCTGACTTGGCATACAATGCAGATTTTGCTTGTATCAAATATATAGACCCAACACAATGATGAAACAGAATCTGCAAAGTGCATAGCCAACACCCTTTCCATAAGGTGGAGTTCAACAGTTCAAATAAAACACATGGCAATAATACAAGAAACTATTCAGTGTCTCCCAATGAACCAATAAAAAATACACATGTTCGAACCAAAAGACACTTGATCTGGGAACTTTGTCCAACAGTACCTACAACGTTGGAACTATAATTTTTAAAGAACTATGAATAACAGATTAATACGACAGTCGANCTTTCTCATTTTCTTCCATGTCCAGCAGAACCACCGAAGTGTTTGGTACATATCCTTTCAACCTCATTTCTTCTAATAATTTATGTCACCTCTGGAATATCTCCTCAGGGTCTCATCCCCAGCCACAAACTCATGGACCACTCCATCCACCGTAATTGAACTCCAACCTGGTGTCTTCTTCACCCCTCGATCTCTCAGCAACTTCCTCACTCTTGTCACGTCTTCCCAACGCTTTGCTTCCGCATAAATGTTTGACAAAACTGTGTAGTATCCATCATTTAGCGGGTCCAATTCAAGAAGGTGTTTGGTTACTTCTTCCGCCATTTCAATGTTCATGTGGACCTTACATCCACAAGGGAGATCTCCCCACACTACTCCATTCGGCTCAATAGGCATGTTCATAATAAGCTCATATGCCTCTTGAAGGAGGGCTGCACGGCTTAAAATATCAACCATACAACCATAATGTTCAATCTGTGGAGTTACCCGTAATCTCTATTCATACTAGCAAAAATCCTATGACCCTCATTTGTCAACCCCATATGGCTACAAGCATACAAAATAATGGCTACGACCCTCATTTGTCCAATGAAGGTGACACCATTGGGCTTGATGCCAATCTGAATCATCTTAGAGAAGAGTTACAGAGCATCGTTAGCTTGTCCATGCATTGCCAGCCCTTGAATCATGGCTGACAAGAGACAATGGTTCGGTACTCCATCTCCTCAAAAACATTATGAGCAACTTCCAAACATCCACATTTGATGTACATATCGATAAGAATATTACATATATGAATATTTCTACTATACCCACTTCGCTCAGAGTACTCATGAATCTTCCTGCCAAGATCAATTGCACGCAAATCAGCACATGCTGTGAGAACAGCCACAACCGTGACCACATTAGGTCTTAACCCTGCCTCTTCCATCTGCGTAAAAAGACTAATAGCCTCCTTTGGCTTCCCACACTGAACGAATCCGGCAATCATAGTCGTCCATGACCTCACTGGCATTTGTGAAAATAAAGCATATGCCCCGTCAACATCTTCCCTCTAGACCGATTGGGTCATCATTATATTCCAAGTCACAACATCGCGTTGTGACATTTTCTCAAACAACTACCGCGCATCATTAATAGCTCCACAAGATGCATATAATTGAACAATAGTGTTTTGCAAAAACAAATTTGATTGAAACCCAAGTTTTTCAATGAACCCGTGAACAATTTTACCATGTAAAAGTTCCAACAACTTGTGTGCAAGCTTTAATAATAAAAGAATGAGAAAAAATATCGAGACAAACATTATGGTTACGCAGCTGATAAAACAGCACAATTGCATCATTTAGAGAATCACTTTCGGCAAAAGCTCTCAAACAGGAGTTCCACACTACAATCTCGGGCGTATCAGCACATTCGTAGATTTGTTGAGCGTAGGGAAAACAATGCGTGAAGGCACAAACGGAGCCAACTCGGGGAAGTGGGAGGATTGAATGAGGAGTGTTAGTTTGATGATGTGGGCATGCACTTGTTTGCGTTCCAATAGAGAGTGGAAGTTGTAGAACAGATCGGCTGTGAGGGTTTCTGAAATGGGATTATGAGAATTTCCAGATCGATTGGTTCGGTTGGGTTTAGAAGAGGTAACTGTGTAGAGGGAAGAAACGAAAGGCGTAGACTGAACCATTTCGGTTAGTGAATAACTGTTTATGTTTACCTGCCAGAGCTTAATTTCTTATTTTAGGAACAAATATATTTGTCCTAAAAATATGTACTAAATTATCTCCAAACTTTGATCGTTGGGCATAAAAACTGAAAAAAAAAATAATTTTAAAAAGATCATATCTTACAAATAAACCAAGTTATTGATGATTAAATCGAGTCAATTTTAAAGTCTATTTAATAGACGAGCCAAGTCCAAACAACAGTTTACTCAGCTCACAAGTCAGTATTTACATCCCTGGTGCAGATTTCTAAAATTTGTGACTCATAACCAGGCTTGATGAGTCTGAAGACTCTGAACTACACTTTGTTTCATGAGTCACAAGAAAAGGCCACTGTTCACCCACAGGATAGGCCAATTCTTGGTTTTTTTTTTTGAGAATCAGTATAGGCCAATTCATCATCACAAAGATTGCATAGAATTGGTCATCGTCATTTAATTGGCAACCTATGACAGAAAAATAGTTTCCATGAATCGATTTTTCTTCCCCACTTCAACAGAAAGATGGTGCAAAACATTTGAAAAGAACAGTGTTTCAATCGCCTACAGATCCTGGAAACTTTCACAGTTCAATAAAGAAAATATCAAGTTTCTATCTAAAGCAACTGTAATATTTAACAATAGAAAGCAACCCTTTAAATAATACATCATGTCACCCCACAAAGTACAACCCCATGCTCGCATGGATAATGTTTTATCACATGTTAGCTTCGTTTGTGGGAAGTTTGTCTTCCAAAATCTCAGCATTAGCAACTGGGAAAAGAATAAGCAGCCACCAACACCACCACCACTTGTTAACAGCATCAGAATTGCCTACAACCAGGGCGACTATTACTTGAAGAGTTCTGAGTTTAACCAGTCCCTACCAAGAGAAAAGCAAATTGCAAAATATTATCCATATTTTTTTATGACCAGCAGCATGACTACAGAAAAAAGGCACATCTCAATTATTGGGCGGCGATAAAAGAATGATGTATGACTCTCACTTGCTAATGTCATCAAGGTGGTCATCAAAATCTATGATGTCCTTCCACTTCTCAGAAGAAACATAATCCAACAGGAGAATATTTGCAGATGGCTCCTTGATGCTCAGCCGGTTGCTCCCCTCTGATCCAACTAGCTTCCAACTCCTAGTTGCATCCTTCGTGTAAAGCTGCGCGACAAATAGACAAATAAATAAACAAACTTTAGTTGAACTTCACAGTGGTTTATAACATAGACAAGACAGAGTAACGTAGAAAAATGTAGCCCGCAGCAGTCAAGGGGTTGTAGGGGCAACTTCCAGAGAGAATTATGGCGAGAAGAGGCTTATGGACAAAAAATGAGCATTCTGAAATCTAATGCAAGGGTTTCCTACATGGCTGACTTGGCATACAATGCAGATTTTGCTTGTATCAAATATATAGACCCAACACAATGATGAAACAGAATCTGCAAAGTGCATAGCCAACACCCTTTCCATAAGGTGGAGTTCAACAGTTCAAATAAAACACATGGCAATAATACAAGAAACTATTCAGTGTCTCCCAATGAACCAATAAAAAATACACATGTTCGAACCAAAAGACACTTGATCTGGGAACTTTGTCCAACAGTACCTACAACGTTGGAACTATAATTTTTAAAGAACTATGAATAACAGATTAATACGACAGTCGACAGATAAGGTGCATAAGCTACATCTCTATGTTGAATATTCTTAAAGGCTTTCCATTTCTTTGGCAGAAAAAGGTGAACTACTCAATCCAAGTCAGGCAATTATCNACATCTCTATGTTGAATATTCTTAAAGGCTTTCCAATTCTTTGGCAGAAAAAGGTGAACTACTCAATCCAAGTCATGGTGCTTTATGTTGCAACATGAAGATCATCAATTGTACAAAAAATTACAACTTTTCAGTTCAGGTCAAACAAACTTGCTAGCAAGTAGCATTGGCATTATTGGTTCTGGGATACCGCAGCCAATATACCCATATATTTTGCCATAGGTCAAAAGCTCACCATATCTTGGGCAATAATCCTCTTTCAATTGAAGCCCCAACTGTGGTTTGGCAATAATTAGTGTGATAAAAAATGGTAACTACAGCAAACAAGCCCCACAAATATTTATTCTGACAGCCTACCATGAATACACAATATCGTTTGCTGATTAAACAGATCAATAAAACCTAACATCATGGCCCATAAGTGAAGTATGGAGCATGCAAAAGTAAAGCCTCACATAAACAGCAAGCATGTTACTTTCCATTTATCAATGGGTNATGGTAACTACAGCAAACAAGCCCCACAAATATTTATTCTGACAGCCTACCATGAATACACAATATCGTTTGCTGATTAAACAGATCAATAAAACCTAACATCATGGCCCATAAGTGAAGTATGGAGCATGTAAAAGTAAAGCCGCACATAAACAGCATGCATGTTACTTTCCATTTATCAATGGGTGTGGATTATAACACATTGATACATCAAACACACACATGTCCAGACAATTTCAAACTGGAGGATTTGGCCTAACACCCATTAAGGCAATGCTGGTTATAACCATACCAATCAATAAAAGAAAACAATNAGGCACAAACGGAGCCAACTCGGGGAAGTGGGAGGATTGAATGAGGAGTGTTAGTTTTGATGATGTGGGCATGCACTTGTTTGCGTTCCAATAGAGAGTTGAAGTTGTAGAACAGATCGGCTGTGAGGGTTTCTGAGTNTACCAATCAATAAAAGAAAACAATTGATCAAGCTACTGTTTTGAATCAATAAAAGATAGCTATTGGCCTACTACAAAATAGTGCAAATGATTAAATTATGCTCAGATGATATAGACAGGAATGGAAATGCTGTAAATACACAAGAAGCATATAGNAGGCACAAACGGAGCCAACTCGGGGAAGTGGGAGGATTGAATGAGGAGTGTTAGTTTGATGATGTGGGCATGCACTTGTTTGCGTTCCAATAGAGAGTGGAAGTTGTAGAACAGATCGGCTGTGAGGGTTTCTGAAANACCCATTAAGGCAATGCTGGTTATAACCATACCAATCAATAAAAGAAAACAATTGATCAAGCTACTGTTTTGAATCAATAAAAGATAGCTATTGGCCTACTACAAAATGGTGCAAATGATTAAATTATGCTCTGATGATATAGACAGGAATGGAAATGCTGTAAATACACAAGAAGCATATAANGTTGGGATTATGAGAATTTCCAGATCGATTGGTTCGGTTGGGTTTAGAAGAGGTAACTGTGTAGAGGGAAGAAACGNCAAATGATTAAATTATGCTCTGATGATATAGACAGGAATGGAAATGCTGTAAATACACAAGAAGCATATAACTTGGTGCTGAAAATAGTGCTATAACAACAATGTAAATAGATTAAGAGACAAAACTATAATATCTCAATGAAGTTTTTTTGCCACCTAATTTAATTTAACAAACCAAATTCCCGCAATCATTGATCAATGANCGAAAGGCGTAGACTGAACCATTTCGGTTAGTGAATAACTGTTTATGTTTACCTGCCGGAGCTTAATTTCTTATTTTAGGAACAAATATATTTGTCCTGAAAATATGTACTAAATTATCTCCAAACTTTGATCGTTGGGCATAAAAACTGAAAAAAAATNCGAAAGGCGTAGACTGAACCATTTCGGTTAGTGAATAACTGTTTATGTTTACCTGCCAGAGCTTAATTTCTTATTTTAGGAACAAATATATTTGTCCTAAAAATATGTACTAAATTATCTCCAAACTTTGATCGTTGGGCATAAAAACTGAAAAAAAAANGCAATCATTGACCAATGGCGATGGAAAAAGGGTAAAACCCACCTGCATCACAGGGCTCCGATCCTTCGCCTTTGCTAAAGCTCCAAGTTTTTTGTTATCTAACTGAAATTAAACCAATTAAACACCAATANATATAATTTTAAAAAGATCATATCTTACAAATAAACCAAGTTATTGATGATTAAATCGAGTCAATTTTAAAGTCTATTTAATAGACGAGCCAAGTCCAAACAACAGTTTACTCAGCTCACAAGTCAGTATTTACATCCCTGGTGCAGATTTCTAAAATTTGTGACTCATAACCAGGCTTGATGAGTCTGAAGACTCTGAACTACACTTTGTTTCATGAGTCANTTTCTAAAATTTGTGACTCATAACCAGGCTTGATGAGTCTGAAGACTCTGAACTACATGAGTCTGAAGACTCTGAACTACACTTTGTTTCATGAGTCACAAGAAAAGGCCACTGTTCGCCCACAGGATAGGCCAATTCTTGGTTTTTTTTTTTGAGAATCAGTATAGGCCAATTCATCATCACAAAGATTGCATAGAATTGGTCATCGTCATTTAATTGGCAACCTATGACAGAAAAATAGTTTCCATGAATCGATTTTTCTTCCCCACTTCAACAGAAAGATGGTGCAAAACATTTGAAAATAACAGTGTTTCAATCGCCTACAGATCCTGGAAACTTTCACAGTTCAATAAAGAAAATATCAAGTTTCTATCTAAAGCAACTGTAATATTTAACAATAGAAAGCAACCCTTTAAATAATACATCATGTCACCCCACAAAGTACAACCCCATGCTCGCATGGATAATGTTTTATCACATGTTAGCTTCGTTTGTGGGAAGTTTGTCTTCCAAAATCTCAGCATTAGCAACTGGGAAAAGAATAAGCAGCCACCAACACCACCACCACTTGTTAACAGCATCAGAATTGCCTACAACCAGGGCGAATATTACTTGAAGAGTTCTGAGTTTAACCAGTCCCTACCAAGAGAAAAGCAAATTGCAAAATATTATCCATATTTTTTTATGATCAGCAGCATGACTACAGAAAAAAAGGCACATCTCAATTATTGGGCGGCGATAAAAGAATGATGTATGACTCTCACTTGCTAATGTCATCAAGGTGGTCATCAAAATCTATGATGTCCTTCCACTTCTCAGAAGAAACATAATCCAACAGGAGAATATTTGCAGATGGCTCCTTGATGCTCAGCCGGTTGCTCCCCTCTGATCCAACTAGCTTCCAACTCCTAGTTGCATCCTTCGTGTAAAGCTGCGCGACAAATAGACAAATAAATAAACAAACTTTAGTTGAACTTCACAGTGGTTTATAACATAGACAAGACAGAGTAAAGTAGAAAAATGTAGCCCGCAGCAGTCAAGGGGTTGTAGGGGCAACTTCCAGAGAGAATTATGGCGAGAAGAGGCTTATGGACAAAAAATGAGCATTCTGAAATCTAATGCAAGGGTTTCCTACATGGCTGACTTGGCATACAATGCAGATTTTGCTTGTATCAAATATATAGACCCAACACAATGATGAAACAGAATCTGCAAAGTGCATAGCCAACACCCTTTCCATAAGGTGGAGTTCAACAGTTCAAATAAAACACATGGCAATAATACAAGAAACTATTCAGTGTCTCCCAATGAACCAATAAAAAATACACATGTTCGAACCAAAAGACACTTGATCTGGGAACTTTGTCCAACAGTACCTACAACGTTGGAACTATAATTTTTAAAGAACTATGAATAACAGATTAATACGACAGTCGACAGATAAGGTGCATAAGCTACATCTCTATGTTGAATATTCTTAAAGGCTTTCCAATTCTTTGGCAGAAAAAGGTGAACTACTCAATCCAAGTCATGGTGCTTTATGTTGCAACATGAAGATCATCAATTGTACAAAAAATTACAACTTTTCAGTTCAGGTCAAACAAACTTGCTAGCAAGTAGCATTGGCATTATTGGTTCTGGGATACCGCAGCCAATATACCCATATATTTTGCCATAGGTCAAAAGCTCACCATATCTTGGGCAATAATCCTCTTTCAATTGAAGCCCCAACTGTGGTTTGGCAATAATTAGTGTGATAAAAAATGGTAACTACAGCAAACAAGCCCCACAAATATTTATTCTGACAGCCTACCATGAATACACAATATCGTTTGCTGATTAAACAGATCAATAAAACCTAACATCATGGCCCATAAGTGAAGTATGGAGCATGTAAAAGTAAAGCCGCACATAAACAGCATGCATGTTACTTTCCATTTATCAATGGGCGTGGATTATAACACATTGATACATCAAACACACACATGTCCAGACAATTTCAAACTGGAGGATTTGGCCTAACACCCATTAAGGCAATGCTGGTTATAACCATACCAATCAATAAAAGAAAACAATTGATCAAGCTACTGTTTTGAATCAATAAAAGATAGCTATTGGCCTACTACAAAATGGTGCAAATGATTAAATTATGCTCTGATGATATAGACAGGAATGGAAATGCTGTAAATACACAAGAAGCATATAACTTGGTGCTGAAAATAGTGCTATAACAACAATGTAAATAGATTAAGAGACAAAACTATAATATCTCAATGAAGTTTTTTTGCCACCTAATTTAATTTAACAAACCAAATTCCCGCAATCATTGACCAATGACGATGGAAAAAGGGCAAAACCCACCTGCATCACAGGGCTCCGATCCTTCGCCTTTGCTAAAGCTCCAAGTTTTTTGTTATCTAACTGAAATTAAACCAATTGAACACCAATAAAAAAAAATGTAGAATTCCGCTCACAAAAATTAAAAATCAATAAAAAAGAAACTGAATTTGAACATGAAGCCAACGCAAACGTACCAAAAGAAGAGCAGCTTGGGGGAAATATCGAGTAATGTGATCACCAATATTCTTGGCGACATTACCTAGCTCGGAATCATCGAATCTCTCATTGGCGTGAAAATAACCAACAACACTCAAACCTTGAGCTGTATAATACTCCTCTATCTATTCGAACATCAAATAATATATATTAAGTTAGAAACCCTAAGCTCGAATCGAAACTTATAGGAGTGAAAGATAGAGTAGAGTTGAGGACAGACTGACCATAATTAGGGCGATTTCGAGAGGAGGAAGAAGGCCGATTTGGGAGTGGAAGAGAGAGACGGACTCAACGATTTCGACGACGGGGTTGGAGGTGTCGCCGCAGGAGATGCGGCCGAGGAGGACGCCATTGACGGCGGAGGTCTTGTGCTTTAGGGCATGGAGGACCAGCTTGATGTACGCATTTTGCTCGATCTCGTACCGTGACTCGCCGCCCATTTTCTCAGTGAGTCTCAGAGGAGTAATTTNGGTCATCGTCATTTAATTGGCAACCTATGACAGAAAAATAGTTTCCATGAATCGATTCTTTTGATTTCCAAAATAAAAAGGTCCTCGTAAAAGAGTTTTTTCTTCCCCACTTCAACTTCAACAAAAAGATGGTGCAAAACATTTGAAAAGAACAGTGTTTCAATCGCCTACAGATCCTGGAAACTTTCACAGTTCAATAAAGAAAATATCAAGTTTCTATCTAAAGCAACTGTNGGTCATCGTCATTTAATTGGCAACCTATGACAGAAAAATAGTTTCCATGAATCGATTTTTCTTCCCCACTTCAACAGAAAGATGGTGCAAAACATTTGAAAATAACAGTGTTTCAATCGCCTACAGATCCTGGAAACTTTCACAGTTCAATAAAGAAAATATCAAGTTTCTATCTAAAGCAACTGCAATATTTAACAATAGAAAGCAACCCTTTAAATAATACATCATGTCACCCCACAAAGTACAACCCCATGCTCGCATGGATAATGTTTTATCACATGTTAGCTTCGTTTGTGGGAAGTTTGTCTTCCAAAATCTCAGCATTAGCAACTGGGAAAAGAATAAGCAGCCACCAACACCACCACCACTTGTTAACAGCATCAGAATTGCCTACAACCAGGGNTTTATATTTTATTGTATTATTTATTAAAATAAAAATCTAATTTTTTCTTAAAAAATTGTAATTAATATACAATTATACTATAGAAGTATATATTCTAGAAAGCACCNTTGTGGGAAGTTTGTCTTCCAAAATCTCAGCATTAGCAACTGGGAAAAGAATAAGCAGCCACCAACACCACCACCACTTGTTAACAGCATCAGAATTGCCTACAACCAGGGCGAATATTACTTGAAGAGTTCTGAGTTTAACCAGTCCCTACCAAGAGAAAAGCAAATTGCAAAATATTATCCATATTTTTTTATGATCAGCAGCATGACTACAGAAAAAAAGGCACATCTCAATTATTGGGCGGCGATAAAAGAATGATGTATGACTCTCACTTGCTAATGTCATCAAGGTGGTCATCAAAATCTATGATGTCCTTCCACTTCTCAGAAGAAACATAATCCAACAGGAGAATATTTGCAGATGGCTCCTTGATGCTCAGCCGGTTGCTCCCCTCTGATCCAACTAGCTTCCAACTCCTAGTTGCATCCTTCGTGTAAAGCTGCGCGACAAATAGACAAATAAATAAACAAACTTTAGTTGAACTTCACAGTGGTTTATAACATAGACAAGACAGAGTAAAGTAGAAAAATGTAGCCCGCAGCAGTCAAGGGGTTGTAGGGGCAACTTCCAGAGAGAATTATGGCGAGAAGAGGCTTATGGACAAAAAATGAGCATTCTGAAATCTAATGCAAGGGTTTCCTACATGGCTGACTTGGCATACAATGCAGATTTTGCTTGNATTAATATACAATTATACTATAGAAGTATATATTCTAGAAAGCACCTTAATTTTTTTGATTAGTCTCAACTTTTATAAAAGTCAAATTTCAATAAATGTATAAATTATTTTTTTGTTTTCAAGAAAATAAACATTTTTGTATTTGATTATTCATGTTAAAAAAGTAATTCAGACACCAGATACACCAACCCTGATCCTTTTTTATACAAACTTGTGTAGATCACACAAAATATTTCACAACTCTGACACAAAATACAAACTAATGCAAAGCTCCTTACAAACCCATGACTATTCAAATAAGTAGATACATCTTCACTCAATAATGACAATCACAGAGTGCATCATGATTGCATCCATCTTACTACTCCAGCCTGCCCTTCTCCTTGCTGTTATTAGCTTTCCCTCCCTTCTTTTAATATACTTTTCATACCAAAATAAGTTTGTCCAAGAAAGGGAACCGGTTCCTAGACAACTTACAGTTTCAGACTCCACCAACTGCTTTCTAATCAATTANAACATTGTGGTAAGTCCTTACTCATCATCTGCCTGACCAAAGTGCACGATCCCTCCTCCTTTGGCTAGTCTAACAGTAGTTTCAGTTCCATGCTTTTTAAGTTAGATTCTGGATTTTCTAAACCTCAATTTCCTCAAAAACTATTGATTGGGAGAAGGGAAGGAAGCAATAAAGCAGTAGCATTCAAATTAAAAAATCTTCTCAAGAATATTAAAAGAAATTTCTGCCACAAACAGATATAAATACTATCAAGTAACCCACTGGGAAGGGACCATGGATTACTCTCTTCCAATCCTTAATATCAATGGCCATATATCTAGAAGTCATTGANACCGTCAAAGGTCTCATTCCTAGCAATTGCATTTAAATAATGTTGACTCCTAATGGATGGGATACGATGAACCAATGTGAATGAGTGTAAGCTTCATTGCCCGAACACGATTGGTGCTGACCACGCTAGGTGCTATCGTGATAGTAGGAATNTAATTTGTATCATTCTAATTGTCATGTAGGTAGGCCACTTTTAATTGCATGTTGATAAATATGAGACACACCTCCATCACCCTAGTTCCAGAAAAGTAGCNTAGGTGCTACCGTGGTAGCAAGAGAGGCCAGGCGGTGACAATTGAGAGGTTGTCACTGAGCATTCCTAGTCACACGGGAAGAGAGGTCAAATGGCAAGGCCATACGCCCGTTTGGCTCCTCACGGAGTATAGTNTTTATATTTTATTGTATTATTTATTAAAATAAAAATCTAATTTTTTCTTAAAAAATTATAATTAATATACAATTATACTATAGAAGTATATATTCTAGAAAGCACTTTAATTTTTTTGATTAGTCTCAACTTTTATAAAAGTCAAATTTCAATAAATGTATAAATTATTTTTTTGTTTTCAAGAAAATAAACATTTTTGTATTTGATTATTCATGTTAAAAAAGTAATTCAGACACCAGATACACCAACCCTGATCCTTTTTTATACAAACTTGTGTAGATCACACAAAATATTTCACAACTCTGACACAAAATACAAACTAATGCAAAGCTCCTTACAAACCCATGACTATTCAAATAAGTAGATACATCTTCACTCAATAATGACAATCACAGAGTGTATCATGATTGCATCCATCTTACTACTCCAGCCTGCCCTTCTCCTTGCTGTTATTAGCTTTCCCTCCCTTCTTTTAATATACTTTTCATACCAAAATAAGTTTGTCCAAGAAAGGGAACCGGTTCCTAGACAACTTACAGTTTCAGAAGACTCCACCAACTGCTTTCTAATCAATTGCCTTGTTGACACTTCTACTATTGTAAGAGTGATATTTTTATAGATATAATTACAACAACAACTTTATAGTGCTCGAGAGAATAATATATAGACAAACTATAAAAGCTTCCAGAAAAAGTTCAGCTCTTGACATATTCCCTGCACCTTAAATCCACTGGGTAAGGAGAATCAAAACGAAGAGCGTGAAACTTGCTACTTGGACTAATATGCAACTAGAGTAAATTTTCTGGCCGCAGGGCCGGGGATGAATTCACACCGTCAAAGGTCTCATTCCTAGCAATTGCATTTAAATAATGTTGACTCCTAATGGATGGGATACGATGAACCAATGTGAATGAGTGTAAGCTTCATTGCCCGAACACGATTGGTGCTGACCACGCTAGGTGCTATCGTGATAGTAGGAATGGCCAGGCGGTGACAATTGAGAGGTTGTCACTGAGCATTCCTAGTCACACGGGAAGAGAGGTCAAATGGCAAGGCCATACGCCCGTTTGGCTCCTCGCGGAGTATAGCTCACATCCAAACATCTGATTGGGGAACGGGGCAACGCCCATGAAGCTCCGGCGGAAAGGGAAGGCCTGCCAGGCCGTATGCCCATGGGTGCAGGATTCTTCGAAAAAGCGCGGGCTGACTCGGAGACCTGGGACCTTGGCTTAGCAACGAATGAAGGGAAGCTCGAAGAGCTTTCTCCGCCAGCGGCTTATGTAGTGGTCGGCATTCTATAAGCGACTTGTCGAGTCTACGAAGCTTTGCTTCTTGTAGTCGGCCCGTAATGCCTCCCTTCATTTGCTTGCCTCCTTCCAGCTCAGAATGCCTAAT